TTCCTTCTTTCCTGTGGTTGAGCAATGTTCCAATAGTCCTCCAATGAATAAGAAGGACCCTAGAAGAATCGATGCATTTGAATCGTGGTGTTGGAGAAGAATTTTGAAAGGACCATGGACTGCCAGAAGAACAAACAAACCTGTTTCAGAAGAAGTACAACCAGAATGCTCCTTAGAAGTCAGTATGGGGAGACTTCATCTCTCATTGTACTTCGGACATGTTATCGGGAGGGACCAGTCCTAGGAGAAGCACATCATGCTTTGTAAAGTGGAAGGTCAGCGAAACAGAGGAAAACACCCCAACGAGAGGGACTGACACAGGGCCAGCAACACTGAGCTCACACACTACAATTATAAGGATGTGTTTCATTATGTTGTGCAGAGGGTCACTATGAATTGGAACTGGTTAGAGGCCGCCTAACAACAATGACAACAAGGTCCCATTGTGTGTGTGGCCTACACTGTGTTTATTCATTCACCTGTTGATGGACGCTTGGATTGTTTCCACCTTTTGGCCCCTGTGAATAATGCTACAGTGAGTATGGGTGGACACGCATCTGTTAGAGTCCTTGAGTTTCAATCTCCTGGTTATACACCCGGGGATGGAATTGCTGGCCCACACCGTCCCTCTGTATAACTTGTGGAGGGTCCAGCAGCCGCTTTTCTACAGCAGCTGCGCCATTTTACTTCCCCACTGAAAACGCACTAGGTTTCCGCTTGATCCGCCTCCTTGCCAGCACTTACTATTTGACACTGTTCTGATAATAAAACTCCAAAATCCCAAGTCCACTGACATTGTAGCCATCCTGACTCATAGTGACCTCAGAGGACAGTGGAGAACTGGTCCTTAGCATTTCCAAGACTAAATCTCCTCACCTTTCTAGTGAGGAGCAGCTGGTGGGTTTGAACTGCTAACTTAGTGGTTACCAGCCCAACTATTGGAAGAAGTACAGCCAGAATGTCCCTTAGGAGTGAGCTTGGTAGGCATGCTATTAAGAGGGACTCATCCCTGAAGGAGGACACTAAGCTTGGTGAAGGGTGCTCGAAAAAGAGGAAGCCCCCAACAAGATGGGCTCAAGTGTAGCAATGGTAGTGAGGAGGACGCAGGACTGGGCAGTGTATCCTTTTATTGTTCATGGGTCGTTGTGAGTTGGAACCAACTTCGCAACACCCAACAACAACAACATGGGTGTGAGATGGTATCTTGTGGTAGTTTGAGCTACTTTTTGGTTTCCAACTGACAAGTGGGCACCTTGACCCAGCTCAGGGTTGTGAACAACTCTCCACTTTCACCGTCCCTGGGCCTGTCTGGGGGAGTATGCTATTTGGAATCTCCCTCACACAAGCGCTTTTCCCTGAAAGCTCTCTTGCCTGACACTGGGGCCAACATGGAACCCGAGAGCCACCTGTTCCATGAGAGCCATCCATGTCTCCCTCTTACTTCCACCGGGCAGGCCCCTGGCCAGGACCCCAACACTGTTGTCAGGTGTGAGCTTGGATTAGGCTATAGAATCTTCATTTTATTTTACTGGTCACCGTCCCATCCTCAATACAACTGAACCTGAGCAGACAGGCTGTCCGAGAAGATGAACGGATGAGGGAGGCAGCAGCTTCCTGGCAGCCCCCAGTGAGGGGACCCTCCCCAGAGGGTCTGTGCACAGCTCATACTGGTGTTGGTCACTCTATGCTGGACCAGTTGGTAAATAATAACAACAGCCAAGGACTGGTATACTTTCAGGAGCACTGGAGGGACGGTTTACCGGAAGGCCGGCAGTTAAAACCCACCCGTTCCTCCTCAGGAGAAAGATGAAGCAATCCACTTCCATAAAGATTTATAGCCTCAGAAACTCCATCCTGCAGGGTCACAATCGACTTGACGGGACGGGAGGGGATTTGGTGTTGGGTTGGGGCCAGTTTCATTCCTTCCAACCACTCCCAGTGGAAAAAATGCAGTTTTCCCCATTTCACAGATGAGAAGATTAAGGCTATTCCTGGAGGTGGTTTGGGAACATTCTGGCCCTCAGGTCCATCCTGTGCTCTGTGCACAGCTCTGCTTTTGCTCGCCAGACTGGGACCCTACCTCCATGTCTTTCTCAGAGCCTGGCTCACAAATGGGGCGACTTCAAACAACATTCATTTAATCTCTGTCAGTTCTGGAGACCAGAAGTCTGAAATGGGTCTCCTAGCCTAAGCCTGTCCGAGCCTCTGAGGGAGAATCTATTTCTCATCTTTCCTGCATCTTCAAAGCCAGCAATGGCCGGCCAAGTCCTTCTCAGTCAACTTCCCTCTGACTTCAGACAGAAGGACCCTGTTGTCCACTGAGGCCGCTTAGGTGGCGCACATGTTTTTGTACAGACACTAACCTAAAGATCAGCAGTTTAAAACCACCCAACGGCTCTGCAGAAGGAAGACCTGGTGGTCCTCTGGGACAGTTCTGCTCTGACATATGGTCATGATGCATGTGGACCCAGATAATCCCCATCTCAAGGATGATGCCATAAATCCCACCTGAAGAAAAAAAAAAAAAAATCCCATTTTTTTGCCACACGAGGAAGCATATTCACAGGGATTTGGATGTGGGCTTCTTTGGGAGCTGAGTTAGAATCGATTCACCGGCAATGGGTGTTCTGACAGACACATTTTAGTTAACGCATCCTCTTCCTCACAACCCCAAGCATCCCTATTGCTTCTGTTCCCAGCCCCCTTCAGTCTAGCGTCTCTTTCACAATTTATACTGAAATGTCCCTGCCCTCTGATGATGGGGCCAGGGTGAGCCTCAAGGTTCCCAGGCAACTCCATCCCTGGATTATCCCATCAGTCTGTTGGGCTTGAGAAATCGGGAGGTGAGCAGAAGTGAAGTGAGCCATGGCAGGTGCTTGAGCTGGGGAGAAGCCTCAGTGTAGCAGTGGGCCACAGGGGGCAAGGCCGGCCGGGAGACCTAGGATGAGGTGGAGGCCCAGTCAGGAGGACAAATGGGAGACAGAAAGAGAGAAGGATAAGACAAGAGCAGGGAGGAGGCAGAGAGGTGGGTGCTGGGGCCTCCGGGGACAGAAGGGTCCCCAAAGAGGGTCACGATTACAGTCACCTCAGCACTGGGAGAGATGTTGATCTAGGGAGTAGCGGCTGCTGGCAGCTGGCCTCGGCTTTCCCGGGGAGGCCCCGAACCCACGCCAACCCAGACAATGAGCCTTTGATTTGCACAGCCCAAGCTAGGGTGACCGGGCCACACCAGGGTCAGTGCTTGGACAAGGTCACACTGTCCAGCCCCCGCATACCCTTGGTCAGAACATAGGGTCCTGCCCCTACCCATTCCTTGTCTTGGGGAGAATCCCCAGATACTGCCAGAGATCAAGGTTGGGCCAATGCAGCTAGGTGTCCTCTCCGGCTGGGGGTGGGGGGAGTGAGGAGAGGGGACAGAGGTCAGGCTGGGCATCTGAGGTTGGGAAAAGAATCTGGACATGGCTCTAACCAGTGGCAACTGTCACGCACCATGCAGACACACAGCCTCAGTGTCCACGCCAGAGGTAGGGGCAGAAGTAGTAATGGGGTCATTAAGCACAAGAGATGTCCAATTGTTTTTATTTTCTTTACAGCAATCATTTGCCACTTTTTGCCTTTACATATTCATTCTTTTGTCTATATTCCCCTCCCCCACCCACCCACCCATGGCACCTATAAGTCATGGCCTCAGTGAGGATGGCTCTGGGTCTGTGTTGGTTCCTGAGACACCTCAGTGCCACACATGGTACCTGACACCAGTGGTTTATCAAAAACATCATCTGAGAATGAGCCCCCAGAGCCCAGGAGGACTTGGGGGGTGTCTTGACAATCTTCTGTTACTATATTCACAAGATTTTCAGTGGCTACATATTCAGTAGTGGTCCATCTTCCTAGTCTGTCTTAGACTGGAAACTGCTGAAACCTTTCCACCATGGGCGGTTATGGTGTTAGATGCTGTCGAGTCGCTTCCTACTCCACATCTGTCTCCTGCGCCATAATGATCTTGAATTCAAAATGTCGGAGGCAAAGTTGTCAGCATCATAGCAGCCCGCCACACTGACAGATGAGTGGTGGGACAGTTCTGGAGACCACCCCCCAAAGGTGTATCAACTCCACATTAGGAAGAGTGTCTGGCTACACAAAGTGCCTCCCAGGCCCACACTGATGTCACTCCAGGGAACCATGATTCTAGGAGAATCCGGGATTCCTGGGTGGCGGCATGCCAGCATTTCTGCAGTCCTCATAAACCAATAAATTCTTGCTGGCATGGCCCAGAGGCACTTCTACAAACGTTTGGGGGCCAGGGACATGGATTCCTGGGTTTGAGGGGCAAAGGGCCTTGCAGGCAGTGGGCACTTAGGGTGTGTTGGTGGTGTATGATTACTGCTGTTGATGTTGTTGTGGGGACTATAGTTTCTCTGGGTCTCTCTCTGCCACCTCCCATCCCCTCCACCCTCCATTCATGCACCCCCTTACTCACACTGGGTTGTGTCCACTGGGTCCAGGGGTTGGGAGGCCTAAGGTGTGAGCAGGGAGCTGGCTGAGGCTGAGGTGTGGGGGCTGGCAGGAGTGGGTAGGCTTGGCCGATGGTCCAGGCCATAGGTGGGCCCGGAAGAGAATCCCATGCCAACACAGATCCGAAGATACACTTTTCCCAGGGCCCCAATCTCATGTGATACCTGGGGGTACCCATTCCCCAGTTCCACCTAAGACCGTCACGATTGGCTCCAGCCGCAACTTGCCAGATAAATTCTCTGGCTCCTAGACTGGACCCCGCCTCCGCCCCCAGTTGCCATTTCGGGGTCGCCAGGCCCAGCCCCTGCACACATCCCTCATCATAGACTCGGCCTTCAGCCCCGCCATTCAAGCGCCCCGCCCCGGCCCCGCCCCGCCCCGAGCCTGCGGGACCTTTATAGGGAGCGCCTGGCCGCTGCGCGCTGGGAAGTCCGTACTGCCCGCCCTCCCAGCCGCCAGCTTGCCTGCCGCCACCGCCACCGCCGCCGTCTCAACCATCGCCATGCGTCCCGGGACGCCGGGGCCACTGTGGCCACTGCCTTGGGGGGCCCTGGTTTGGGCTGTGGGCTTCATGGGCTCCGTGAGCTCTGGGGACCCTGCGCCTGGTGAGTCGGGCTGCAGGAAGGGGAGGGTGGGGTGGGCCACCCACGTGGGCCCGCACGGAATGCGGCCCTCGGGGGAATTGTTGGGGGGCGCGGTGGAGGTGACTGGGGGCAGAGAGTGGTGACCAGTAAGGTCCACTCTGGAAAGACTTGGGGTGCTCTACCCCTAGTCCCTAAGGGCCTGAAGGAGGGTCACCAAGAGGTCAGCAGAACGGATCTCTCTCTCTTCCACAATTATAAATAATGGTAATCCTAATGGCAAATGGCATTTATTCAGCGCTTAATGTCTACAATTCCATTCCTCGAGTCCACACAACAGCCTAGTAGTGAGTAGTCATCATCCCGATTTTAAGACGGGGAAATGGAGACGCAGGGTTACACAGCATATGAGTGGCAAAGCCAGGATTCGAACCTGGGTCATCAGGGTCCGGATGCAGTGTGGTGTGGTGGGACCCTGGGTCTCCAGCCCGGGCCTCAGGTCTTCTGAGGTCTGGCAACAGGCAGGCTGGGGGCTTAGAATGTCACACCTGCCACTTTCTGGGGGATGCTGGGGGAGTCATAGCCACTTCCTGCCTCGGTTTCCCCTTTTACAAAATGGGTACCTCAGGGCCGTGTTCCCAGAGCTTGCCCCTGAAGGTACTCAGCCAGAGCCCGGGAGCCAGCAGACGTGTGGAGGCGGGGGGCCACAGCCATTCCTGCCCCCATTTAAGGGGAACACTGAGGGCCATCTGCCTCTACTTCAGACCCCACAGCCCCAAGCCAGCCCCATGCCAAGAGCAGAGCCCCCTCCCCGAGGGCCGTGTCCCCGGGGAGACAGTGAGCTCATGCAAGGAGAATGTTCCCAAGTTGGAGTGAGTAAGAGGCCGGCCAGGCGAGGGGGGGCTGCAGGCGAGGGGGACTCCTGGGCCCTCGGGTGCTGTCTAGACTGAGGGCAGAGGCGTGAGAGGCAGCTCCTGGGGCCACTGACCCGCCGCCGGCCATTCCCTGGGCTGCCTGGGTGGGTGGGATGCTGGGCCCCAGCCTGGATGATCTGGAGGAAAGATGGAGCTCTGGGGGATGGGCGGGGCCTCGGGCGGAGCTCAGAGGGGAGGGGAGAACTCCAGGTTACCCAGAGCTGGGGTGGAGCACCCGTGCTTGCTTCCTTCCAGGCTTAGGGGCAGATCGCCCCCTCTGAGGGCCAGGTGCTGGGTGAAGCTGAAAGCTTGAGTGTCCCAGGTGGGCAGGTCCAGCCATGTGAACAGCCTCACTCCTCTACCTGCAGGTGGTGTCTGCTGGCTCCAGCAGGGCCGAGAGGCCACCTGCAGCCTGGTGCTTCGGACAGACGTGAGCCAGGAGGAATGCTGTGCATCCGCCAGCGTCGACATCGCCTGGTCCAACTTCACCTACCCCGGGAACAAAATCAGTCTGCTGGGTTTCCTGGGCCTTGTGCACTGCTTGCCCTGCAAAGGTGAGACTCCAGTCAGGGCACCGACAGCTCAGTAAAGGGGACCGCTAAGATCAAGGCGGGGGGTAACCCAGGCTTCATAGACAAGGTCTGGGGGCTCACCTCAGAGAGTGGTTTGGGCGAAGTAACATTGGTCCAACTTTCTGAGGAGTCGGGACCTGGTGTCCAGCTTCTAGGATGTCTCTTCCCACCTGCACCCACCTGGTTTTCCTAACTGACTCCAGGGGTCTGTGGTGGGGAAGGCAGCTGTGTGTTTAACAAACAAACGCATGCTTTGAGAAATGCTGCTCCATCAGATAGGAGCCCTTTCAGGGCCTGGTGAATGGATGATGAATGGATGGATGAGTCAAGACATAGTTAACTGCCCTCCCGGAGGGGTTGGGGGACTTCGAGCCTGCAGGTGTCCAAAGGAGTCACTGGGGCCTGACTTGGACATTGGAGTCAGGGTGTTGGGGGATGATTAGGAGTTTGCCTGCTACAGAAGGTACTGGGGGGAGAGCATCAACAAAACTTGGGTGGGTCCCCAGCAGGGCACAAGGAAGGAGAATGGAGTTCTAGGCAGTAGACCTGAAGGCCAGCTGGGATGGGATTAATCCTAAACTCTGGTGGTTCTGAACTCACTGCCCCTAGCTCCTTCCAGGCCTTCCCTCCAGCTTTGGAGAGGAGGACAGACTTCAAAAACCGCTTGGCCTGGGCACGAGATGCCCCAACCTCATCTGGCTCCACTGGCCCCCCCACTTCCGTTCTTGCTTGCGTGAGGCCGGGCGGAGCGTTTCCAGATGTGGTGTGGGCGGGCGGCGTGGGAGGGCACAGGTGCGGCCCACATGCCCAGGCAGGGGTGACGACTTGGGAGGCCGGAAGGCTGTGTGGCTAGTGACGGTAGCCATTGTCCCTTCATTTTATGCTCAGCACCACCCTGTGAAGTGGGTTACTCCACCAGTAAGTGGGTTAAACACTGGGGAAACTGAGGCCAGGGTGTAACCCTAGCAGCTTGTGTTCAGCGCCCACCCTCCAGCTATAGACAACACTAAGGGGGTCTAGTGCTGCGGGAGCGCTTCCTGCACACAGCACTGAAGGGACCTCAGTTACCACATCTGTAAAGTGGGGACAATAACCACCTTAGTGAGGCGGAGGTGCATTTCAAATGGAGCGGAGCCCCAGAGAGAGGCATCTCCTTGCCAGGCCTCAGTTTTCCCATCTGGGAAATGGGTCTGAGTGGTGTTTCAGAGGGGGCTTGGCTGTGGGAAGCCCCCTCCCCGCAAATGCGCTCAGGCTGGTGGCCGAGGGTCCAGCACCCCGCCTCATCAACACTGCCTCTAGGGAGGTCCTAGCAGCCAGACGAACAAGACCCACGCCTGGACGGGGTGGAGCGCCAGCCCCCCCCTTCCCCACTGACGCAGCCTGGGGCCCCCCGCCGGCCTTCCCAGAAACACGCGTAAATCAGGGAACAGACGTCAGCCCGTCAGCCCGAGCGGGTGGCCCAGCGTGGAGGGGGAGCCAGAGGCTATCCCTGGACCCCCAGACTCTGCGCTGAGTCTGCCACCCCCAGGCACAGCCATGATTCCAGGTCCATCCTTGCGTGATACCAGATCCAACCACAGATGGACCATGCCCCTACACACGGAATGAGAACACTGGGGGGGGGAGGGTAGTATGGGAGGGGCGTTACTTCCCAAGCCCCCGCCCACGCTGCGTGTCGTGTCGTACATCTGCAGATTCATGCGAGGGCGTGGAGTGTGGCCCGGGCAAGGCATGCCGTATGCTGGGGGGCCGCCCGCGATGCGAGTGCGCCCCCGACTGCACGGGGCTCCCTGCGCGCCTTCAGGTCTGCGGTTCCGACGGCGCCACCTACCGTGACGAGTGCGAGCTGCGAGTCGCGCGTTGCCGAGGCCACCCAGACCTGCGCGTCATGTACCTAGGCCGCTGCCGCAGTACGTGGGGGCGGGGCGGAGGAAGGGCTGGGTGGGGGATTGGGTGGGGCTTAATGGAGGGCGGGGCTGGCGGGTAGAATCTGCAGGCCTGGAACACTGGGGGTCCGGGAGGACTTTGCGCCCTGATGGCTCCGCTCATCCCACAGAGTCGTGTGCACACGTGGTGTGCCCGCGGCCGCAGTCGTGCGTGGTGGACCAGACGGGCAGCGCGCACTGCGTGGTGTGTCGCGCTGCACCTTGCCCAGTGCCCTCCAGCCCCGGCCAGGAACTCTGTGGCAACAACAACATCACCTACATCTCCTCGTGCCATCTCCGCCAGGCCACCTGTTTCCTGGGCCGCTCCATTGGCGTGCGGCATCCAGGTACCTGCACAGGTGAGTGCCGGGACGGGACGTGCTCTGCAACCCTTGTGTCTAGGGGACCACAGGCTGTCAGTCCTGGGGGGTGAGGGTGCTTCTGCCCCCTGACCCAACTGGTATCTCTTGCAGGTGCCCCTGAGCTGTCCGATGTCGAATCAGATGAGGAGAACTTCGTGTGAGCGCCGGCGGGGCAGGCCTCCCCCGTTTTATTTATTGTCACAGCAGAGTCTAATTTATGTCCCTCGGACGAGCTTCCCTTTTCCCCCCTTACCCAACGGCATCTTGGAGGTGGGGCCCAGAACCAGGGGTATTGGTCCTCATTTGGTGACTTCGCCAGGAAGCTCCACCCCAGCCCGGGCGCCCTTTGACCCAGGATGACACCATACTTTTCCCAGTATCCCCTCAGAGGAGTCTAATTACCAACACGTGGGTTACCATGAGGGCTGAGTTCTTCAAGTAGAGACTACTTCCTGACCAGCCCGCGGCCTTCTGGGAGTCACTCCCACAACGTGGTCCAGGAAGACATCCAGACCTCATCAGCCCAATTCCAGATTCTCACTTTCCATACTGCCTCAGTTTCCCCATTCCATCTAGCCAAGGCCCCTGGGAGAGGGACGTGATACAGGCCTGAGGCTGACTAGAGGAAACCATATCCCCTCGCCCCCACCCCCCCATCCCACAGTTCATAAAGCTGTGGTGTTATCAGGTGCGGCCTTCAGGACCAGAGCAGCCCCACCATGGCAACTAGTCCTGCTCCACTTAAGAGTGGGACCCAGAGGGGGTCACAGGGGCAGGGATCCAGAAATGTCATACGCTGCCAGCCAGGCCCAAGTTCTAGACCCAGCTCTTTTTCAGTCCCCTGTGGCTACTTCCCACTATTACTAATGCTGCCGTTCCATAGACCAGAGGCTCAGACCAGAAACGGGGAGCTGGGAGGTATCCTGAGGACGGAGCTAGGCTTGCAGGGGGCTGTGGTGGTCATTCTCCTTTTTGTCCCCCGAAAGTGCCTTACCTGTGGTTCAGAATTGAGCCCTACAACAAGACACCACCCCCTCCCTGGGGTTCGGCTTCACCAAAGAAATAAAGACTAAAAAGTTTTCCTCCTCTCTCTGAACCACTTTGAACCACCGCCCTTTGGTTGGGGGGGTGGGGGTGGCGTGAGGTCTAGAAGTGTCCAGGAGAGAAAGAAATGTGTATGGCTTTGGGGCAACCACTGTACTTCTCAGCGTCTGTGTGCAGTGTCTCCCTCTGAGAAGGGCAGTGGTATGAAGAGGGGGGCAGAGAAAAGGGAGGGAAGGGGGAGCTAGAGGACTTGAAGCAGCCCCAAGGAGCCAGCTAGTCCAGGACCCAGAATTGGAGGCGCGCACTGAAGGATGGGGCGGGTGTATAACAGTAATCATAGTATTAATAACACTAACCATATGCCAGCTGGTTGGGCCTGTGGTGAGTGCTACCTTAACCCAGGTCACGTTCAGATCCCTCACTGGGGATAGAGACCCCGTCTGATGTCCTAGTCGTTTGTTCCTCTCTCCACAGAGAGAACTGGACGGAGTTCCTTACCCTTTCCAAACAGTATTAGGAGCCTTGGTGGCACTGCAGTATAGGTACTGACGAGACTGCTAACTACAAGGTCAGCGGTTCAAACCCACCAGCTGCCCCGAGGGAGAAAGATGAGGCTTTCTGTTCCCATAAAGATTTACAGCTCCGGAAACCCCGTACAGGGTTGCTATGAGTCAGAACTGAGTCAAAGGCAGTGGGTTTGGGGTACCAACCTTGGTTCTGTTTATACGTAGGTGTAACCAGTCCATTGGAGGGGGAGGACCAGCATCCAGGCAGGCGGAACAGCAGATGCAAAGACTAGGAGACCAGCAAGTTCCTCAGTGTGGGGTACTAGGTGGGGGGTTGCTGTAGGATAAGCTCTGGACTGCTAACTGAAAGGTCAGCGGTTCAAACCCACCAGCCCCTCCTCAGACACGCAATACAGGGTCTCTGTGAGTCAGACCGACTAGACAGCTCTTATCAACAACAGATAAGTCCAGGTGGATGGGGTGGGGCGCTGCTCCAAGAGGCCTGACTGTCTGCATGGCTAGGGTCTGGGAGCCAAAACAGTAACAACTGGGTAAGGAGGTGGGAGGCTGTAGGCAGGAGACAGGTGAGGCTGGGTCCCCAGATCACAGGGAGGGAGTGGCAGAGGAGGCGTGGTTGATGCACCTGGAAAGCTCCTCAGTTCCTTTGCGTTCTTTTTCTATCGTTTGGAACTGATGCCCCATCCCCCAAAGGTTTCACAGGTTTTTTTTGGTCCCCATGGAATATTCCAGATTGGGAGCGGATGTGTGTGTATATTTTACCATCTCATTAGAATACTCGGCGAGGCTGTGACTCAGGTAGTGCCTGAAAGGGGACCAAGGATCCCAGGTGGGGTGCTGTGGTGGGGGTTCCGCCGAACTATACCCCGGATCCAGTTCACAAAAGCAGACAGCTGTGTGTACACGTCGGGGTACTTGGGGTCGCCACACCATAGGCCGGAGAAGGAGACAAGACCATAGGCCTTGCCACGGCACACCAGAGGTCCTCCAGAGTCAGCCTGGGGTTGGAATGAAAGCAAGGTCAAGAACCCTTTCCCTGGGCCTTCCCACCTCAAAGTCTTTCCATGGCGTTCTAGTGCTGTAAAGGCAAAGACTAAATTCATCCCCTCAGCCTTCAAGGCCCTAAGGATCTTGTCCCCACCTGCTGCTCCACTTCCTCTACCCCATTGCCCATTCAGTTGGAGCCCACCAACTGTTCTCTGGTTCCTGGGGCAAACCAAATTGCTGCTTGTTTTAGGAACCGACTCATAGCGACCCTACGCACAACAGAATGAAACACTGCCCGATCCTGGGCCAACCTCACAACTGTTGCCATGCTTTAGCCCATTGATGCTGCCACTTGGCCAATCCATCTCGCTGGGGTCTCCCTCTTTTTCTCTGACCCTTCACCTTAACAAACATGATATCCTTCTCCAGCAACTGGTCCCTCCTGACAATATGTCTGAAGTATAAGGGATGAAGTCTGGCCATCCTGGCTTCTAAGGAGCACTCTGGCTGCACTTCTTCCAACACGGATCTATTGGTTCTTTTGGCAGTCCATGGCACTTTCAATATTCTCCTCCAACACCACAACTCAAAAGCATCAATTCTTCTACGGTCTTCCTGATTCACTGTCCAACTTTCACACGCATCTGAGGTTATTGAAAATACCATGGCTTGGGTCAGGTTCACCTTAGTCCTCAAGCTGACATCTTTGCTCTTCAACACTTTAAAGAGGTCTTGTGCAGCGGATTTGCCTAATGCAATACATCGTCTGATTTCTTGACTGCTGCTTCCATGAGTGTTGATGGTTGATCCAAGAAGAATGAAGTCCTTGACAACTTCAATCTTTTCTCCATTGATAAGAATGTTGTTTATTGGTCCAGTGGTGAAGATTTTTGTTTTCTTTACATTGAGATGCAATCCATACTGAGGTCTGTGGTCTTTGATCTTCATCAGTAAGTATTTTAAGTCCTCTTCACTTTCAGTAAACAAGGTTCTATCATCTGCATATTGCAGGTGGTTAATGACTCTTCCTCCAATCCTCCCAAACTGCTGCTAGCGTCCAGGTATTTTCACAGCCTTGAAACCGGTGACTGCCCCCTACTGGACAGTACGTGTGTAACGCTCCAAGGCTACCGGCCCTGCAACAGCGCACATGCAGTCCTGCGACCCTCGGTGTCAGCCTGGCCCTCCCTTCCCTCACCTTCGAGTCTCGCTCAAAATTGCTGTTCTAACGGTCCCTCCGTATCCTAACCAATGTACAGGAGACGTCTCAGGGCGAGTTTCTCTCTGGACACCAAGACCGGGGCGGCTATCAGTCCCTACAGGGTCTTAGGGTCTAAGACTCTGTCACTGCCCCCTGCTGGACAATGCGTGCATAGCTCTACAACTCTGCGGGGATTTGCTTAGTGGGGAACCTGCACGTGAGCGCGCTGCAGCCCTGCGATCCTCCGCAACTCCCTACACTTCCCCGGTCTCAGTTTATTCCTCTGGTGTCAAGTTGGACTCAATGTCCAAGGTCCACGCTGACTCTCTCGGTGGGCCTCGGTTTCCCCTTACGGTAAGCAGGTGGGCTGGGGAGAAAGGAACTTACCGAACAGAAACCGCGCCGCCGGTGGTCCCCACTGCGGGTGCAGAACATGGCAGGGCGCAGCTGGCCACTCCAGGAGCGGTTGCAGAAGTTCAAGTCCAGCACACGGACCTTGGCCTCCATCAGCCCGGAAGGAGGTTCCTGGAAATCGGACACGGAACCCCAGCCGGCCACCTGGCACCACTCCCCAGGCTGGGGCAGCCTGGCTCCCCTCCGAGGCAGTTTCAACAGTCCCACCTCACGTCCCAGGACGGCCGAGTGGTTCAGCTGCAGGGAGATTTTTTTCAGTTTTGTTTTCCTCCACCTCACACTGCAGCTCTTGCCTGTTTACCAACTGTGATACTTGTTCTCTTCTACTTTGGTGGGAGTCATCACCAAGTTCAGAAGACTCTGTTCCTTTGCCCCTCAGGCCCCGTTAATCCCACCTTGGCCTCCCCCAGCCCAGACCTCCAGTCTCACTTTATCAGCTGTGCAAAGATCTTTCTAATTCCCAACCTTCACCCCTCCTCTAAATCCTTCCATGGCTCCCCATCATCCTCAAGACAAAACCCACCAATCAAATCCCTTGAGGGTCCTGTAACTTCAGCCAGAATGAATTTACAAGTGCTCCTTGGGACCCTTCCACTCTTATGCTTGAAACTACTAGTTAGTCTTCAAGTCTCAACATAGATGCCACCTCCTCCAGGAAGCACTCCCAGACACCCAGGCTGGGACAAGAGTCTCCTCTGGGTTCTCCTGGGCCCCTGTCAAGACTGGTTTACCCAGCTGCCACCTGGTTAAACTGGGGGCTCTGTGGGTGCCAGCATGGGCCTCCTTGTCCCCAGTGCCCGGACGCAGGGAGGTCAGAGGTTGTGGAATACATGGCTCAGGACTCTGGGTTTGGTAGCCTCTCATACTTTGGACATATTGTCAGGAGGGACCAGTCACTGGAGAAAATGTTTGGTAAGGTGGAGGGTTGGAGAAAAAGAGAAAGACCCCCAACGAAATGGATGAACCAAGTGGCAGCATCGATGGACTCAAGCGTGGCAACAGCAGTGAGGTTGGCCCAGGATCGGGCAGTGTTTCATTCTGCTGTGCATACGGTCACTATGGGTCAGTACCAAGTAGATGGCACCTAACAACAACAACAACAATGTAATCTTGAAGGATCCTTGAGGAGGGGCTGGGCTGCTAACCACAAGGTCAGTAGTTCAAATCTACCAGTCGCTCTGTGGGAGAAAGATGGGGCTTTCTGCTCCCGTAAAGATTTATAGCTTCGGAAACCCTATACATGGTCACTATGAGTCGGAACCGACTCAATGGCACACAACCACCAACATCATGTGATCTTGGGCACATACATCCTTGACACCTCCGGTTTCTATTTTTCCATCCGTACAATGGTTTGGACCAACCAGAGCAGTGGGCCCCCACTTTTAGGGTTTCACAGACAAGTAGATGAAGACAGAGCAGTGCCCTTGGGCACCAGGAAGGCTTGGGCTTTTGTGCTGGAGAAAGTGGGAGCCATGGAATGTTCTGGGGAGAGGAGAAATGTGACCTGACTCAGGTGCTCCCAGACTTTGTGGGCAACCAGGGATCAGCCAGACCCTGAATCTGCCACCACAGCACAGGCTTACCTTTAGCAGACAGATGTCATTGGTGTGAGTGGATGGTTGGTAATTGGGGTGTCTGAAGACCTTCAAGATGCTGAATATCTGCTGGGTGGGCTCCACAGTTCGAAGATCATGGGCTCCCAGCACCACCAGGCCCATCAGAGGATTCCTATAGGGAATGCGGAAGCAGGACTGGGTTGAGGGCTGTGTGCCAAAGGGCTCAGTCTCCTCATCTGCAAAATGGGGGTGCAGCAGTCTGTTTACATTCCACCTCCATTATAAGATCAAAGATCAGTGCTGAGTTAGTAATTATTATGAAAATGCACTTAGAACAAAAGTTATACTAGTTTTATTAACATTCCCACCTCAATTATTGTATTACCGACAATTTACACTATTCATTATCATAGGAAGAGAATGAATATCATAATTATTATACTAGTTGCCATTCCCACCTTAATTGCAGTATTAATGATAATGGCTGCAATCTTATTATAAAAAGTACGTTTCCTACTGTTAGGTTCACGCAAGCCGAATCCGGCACATGGCGCCCCTATGGGACAGAGTAAGAACTGCCCCAGAGGGTTTCCCGGCTCTCATCTTTCTGGGAACAGACCAACTGCTCCTTTATGTTCCATGCTGCTTGGTGGGTTCCAACGGCCTACTTTCAATTAGTAGTCAAGTGATTAGCCAAGGTGCCGCCTAAAGCCCAAGTCAAACCCACTGCCATCAAATGGATACCAACTCATATAGACCCTATATAGGGTTTCCAAGACAAACCATTGTTATAGGAGCAGCCAACTCTCCGAGTGACTGGTAGGTTTGAACTGCCAGCCTTGTGGTTAACACTTCAGTGCTTAACCCACAGCACTACCAGAGCTCCTTAGAAAATGCTTAGGATGAATGGAATCAGTATTTATTACTATTGCCACTTTAACAGGAGAATGTAGTGGGTTACGTGTCGGGCTGCTAACTGAAAGGTCAGCAATTCGAATCCACCAGTCCTCTGAGGAAGAATGATGAGGCTTTCAGCTCTTGTAAAGATTTACAGCCTTGGAGACCCTGTACAGGGTTACTGTGAGTCACAACTACCACCACCACCTTGATGAGACATTCACAATGGTGGTGCCGTGTGACGTGAAGTCAGTTCCGACTCATACAGACCTGGGGTGGTGCTGTGGGTTAATGCGCCAGACTACAGAGTCGTTGGAACTGCAGGACGGCGGTCCAAGCTCATTAGCTGCTCCTTGGAAATCCTATACAGGGTCACTATGGGTCGGAACCGACTTGATGGCACATAACAACAACAACAACAACAACAACTATAGTATCTATTGCTATCCCTAGCTCAATTATATTTTCAACAATAGTTGGCAATATTAACAATTATCAATATACCTACAGAAAATTTGATGGCATAGAAAATATGTTGTTGTTGTTGTTATGTGCTGTGGAGTCGGTTCCGACTCACAGCGACCCTGTACAGGGTTTCTGAGGCTGTAAATCTTTCCGGGAGCAGAAAGCCTCATCTTTCTCCCATGGAGCAGCTGGTAGTTTCAAACTGCTGACCCTGAGGTTCACAGTCCGATTCGTAACCACTACGCTACCAGAGCTCCTTATAGAAAATATAGCCCCACCTCAATTATAGTATTAACAATGATCCAAAAAAAATTATGACAAGAATGAGTATAATATTTATTATAATGTTTAATTTTCATTTTTCTCGCACTGGCTTGCTTCTTCCCGCACTACCCCTTCCCCAGTGAAACCCCCTCCTTCACAAGCCCCCAAGAGTGAGGAGTGCGGTCAGCCTTGTCCCCTCCTGTGCCCCAGTCCTCCACTGGCTCCCACATGTTGTCCCCATGCATTGTAGCATGTGTCCTGGGGCCAGCCTGGCGTGCTTACCTGTCGCTGAAGCAGTGGGCGGCTGAGACCACCCATTGGGCGTGGAGCAGGAAACCCCCACAGTGGTGCTGGCCCCCAAAGCTCACCGATACCATGTAAGGTCTGGAGTGAGGGGTCACCTCATGGCCTCCAATGATGCGCCCCCCCCAGGAACCTGGGAGGGAGTAAGACAGTGTCATGGACTGGCAGAAAAGCTTATTGGGGAGGCTTTGCCACAGGACTGGGGGTGGTCAGTGAGGAGCTGGGGTTGGGGAAGAAAGAGACTAGACTCAGAGAAAGAAACTGAAAAAGAGGTGGAGAGACAGAGATGAGGAAAAGCACAGACAAAGACCTTGAGAAACACAGAAACCAGCAGACAGATGGAGTGGGCCACAGGATGAGCTGGAGACTGAGGAGCCAAGACAAGCCCCCCAGTGTGTGGGGAGGGGGCTCTGGACCCCAGCTGGACCTTTCCACCTTCCCAGTTGAGAGCTGAGTAATTGAGCCAGTGGGGACCTAGGGTTACTGGGAATCACCTGGATGAATGTGGGAGCCCTGAGGTGCCCCGTATGCAGTTATCTGACAGGTGTCTGGATGGGGACCCTGGAAGAGGCTGTGAGGGAGGCCCAGGTGGAGGTCCTGGGGAGGGGGTGCCCGGGGAGTCCTCACCAAGGGGCCTTGTGAGCAGCATCAGGGTAACTGTGGTCACAGTCAGCAGCAGACAGCCCCCAAGCCCCGCTGTGGGCCCCATGGTCTGTCTCCGGCAATGCCTCCCTTCAAGGTCTGTGGGCCACAGCTCTCAACCTCTTCCAACGGCCCGGAAAGGGCAACAACTGGGCTGTGGCCTGTGGTTGGCCACCAGGCTTTGTGAACAACACCCAGTTCCCAACAAGGGCTTCTGGGAGCCTGGTAATAGTGTGCAGGGCCTCCTCCCAGGCCAGGAAGGGAGAGCTGGGTCTTGGGCAGGCGCTCACCTCTTACACCTGCTCCACACAATGTGTGTAGGGAGCTCTGTGTAGTGTCCAGCACACAGTCGGCGCCCTATAATTGCACATCTGTTTCTTGGGGGGAGAGGGGCGCGCTTGGCTCTCTACCTGCACTGGATCATAGTCCTGGGCCAGCCTCAGTTTCTCCATCTGCAACACCTCAGGGCAGTGAGGACAGGGACCTGCCATGATTATTGCTGTCTTCTGGCATTTGTTAACTGCCGACTGTATACCACGCCCCTGGCATTCTGTGGGGTTGGGGAGGGCACAGAGACAAAGTGCCCTGGGACCTCTCCCTGGGGGAAATGGGAATTTTACTGTGGTCATGGGTTACATGAGATATAGCTGGACACACGGTCACTATTATCCTCATGGCTACTGTGGCTGGTGGACTCGCAGTGTGGCGCTGTAGGAATCAGCACCACAAGGTCAGGGGTTCAAACCCACTAGACGCTCTTGGAAACTCTATATAGGGTTGCTATGAGGCAGAATTGACTTGACAGCATTAACACCAACAGCAACAATTGTAGATGGCAGGGGTGGCCTGGCCAGCGTTGACCAGTGAGACCTGAGAGGTGGGGTTGCATTTGCCAGTTCCCATGGAGTCCTGGGGTGGCGCTGTCGGTTCATGCACCAGACTGCAAAGACGTTTGAACTGCAAAGTCGCCGGTTCAAACTCACCAGCTGCTCCTTGGAAACCCTATACAGGGTGGCTATGGGTCGGAACCGACTCGTCGGCACTTAACAAATGGTGTAATATCAGGAAGAGCTCAGTCAGCTCCCTGGTGTACACACTACAAGACTGCTGGCCGCTACTATTCTTCCCGCTATACTGGGGTCTGTGAGACACATGACCTGGTGTGGACTCAGGGAAGGCTTCTGGAGGAAGAAGTGGGGAGAGGTAGGGGGTCTCGGCAGAGGACAAACCAGCCACTTGGGGTTCAAGGCTGAAGCTCAGCCTCTGGTGGGCTGGAGGGCTCATCGGTGTCTTGAATGAGGGGTTGAGAGGCAAAGTGGCGCCTGTCGGGACATAGGGAGCCACAGAAGGTTGTAGAGCAGGTAAGGTTCCAAGGAAGCAGGTCTGGGCAACGCATGGTTGTAAGGTTTTATTTGGGGTCAGAGACACCCCGCCCCCATTAGTAGTGCTGCAGCACGTCCCTGATCCAGGATACAAATGTGGAGACGCGGGTGTAGACATCGGGGAGGCGGGGATCCCCACACAGCGACGAGGAGAAGGACACCAGGCCGTGCAACTGGCCTCGGCAGAGGAGGGGTCCGCCAGAGTCACCCTACGGAGAGGAAGGGGATGATTGAGTGGCTGGGTCATGGTGGGGTGTCCTGGGCCACCCACCACCCCCACCAGACCGGGCTCCTCCGCCGGCCGCGCTCACCCCACACACGCCCCTGCGGTCCATGGAGCGTGCGGAGGCGCAGAGCATGTCCACCGTGAGGGCTCCTCCCCAGGACGCGTTGCAGGGGCCTCGCGCCTCGATGACCACCGCAGCCTCCAGCAGGGCGGCCGGCGGGTCCTCGCGACCGGTGGTGTCGCCCCAGCCTGTCACTCGGCACCGCGTGCCCGGGCGCAGAGAATAGTTCCGCCTGGGCAAGCGCGTAGGGCGGACGGATCTGGTGACATGAGCTGAGGCGTTGAGCTGGAGGTGGGGAGGAGCGGACAAGGGGGATGAGGCGGACACAGAGAGACAGACAGGCAAGGATGGGAGAGTCAGAGGAGAGAGAGAAGACAGAGACAGGAAGCAATGGTAACAGGAGCCATCAGAGCGATATGTCAGCATGGACAACACGTGTCTGTGCCCTCCCTCCGTCCCTCCACCCTGGTTTGCCCCATCTCATTCCTCCCGCCTGACCACCTTAAGGAGCTGGAGGTCATGGGTGTCGAGCTGGGCATTGTAGAGGGGATAAGGCACGGCCTGAGTGATGGTGAACACTTGCCAGGTGGGCTCAGGTGTTTGCAGGGCATGGGCCCCCAGGACCACCCTGAAGGCACTGAGGTTCGCGCTGTGGAAGGCACGGGAGAGAAAGCATGTCATGACTGGAGCGTCCCTAACCTGCAGCCCATTCCCTGGCAGCCTCGGCCACTCACCTGGTCACCTCACAGTGTGCGGCCGTCAGCACCCAGCGCCGCTGCACCAGCACGGCCCCACAGATGTGTGTCTTGTTCAGCTGCAGGGACGCCATGAAGGGCCGGGAGTGGGGCGCCACCTCATGGCCCCCCACGATCCTGCTGTCACCACGCAGGGTGCCTGAAGGGGCAAAGCCAGCCAGTGAGGGGCTTGTGATCTCACTGGCCACATGTGGGTACATTATGCCTCCTGAGTTTCCTGTTTCGGCTACACAAATGACCATAGACTTGATGCCTCACAATGACACAAATTTATCATTTAAACATTGGGCTGTTAACCACAAGGTCAGTGATTCAAACCCACGAGCTGTTCTGAGGGGAAACTATAATGCAGTCAGATCTGTTATTGGTAAATGGCGTCTAGTCAATTTCGTCTCATAGACACCCTGTATAGAGTTGCCGAGGAATGGTTGGTGGGCTTGAACCACCAACTTTGAGGTTCAAACTGACTTTGTGGTCTAGTGAGCTCTACTGTGTCCTATAGAGTCTCTGCGTGGGAACCGACTCCATGGCAATATGTTTGTTTATTGGTTGCTTGGTTGAGGCAGACAGAGGTCCTGAATGGATCACACAGGACTGAAGTACTGACTTGGTGTTGCTGGGCTGGCTCCTTCCGGAGGCTCCAGGGAGAACCGCATCCTGCCTTTTCTAGTTTCTAGAGGCACCGTTTCAAGAGCAAAGGTGTCAGTTTGAGGACTAAGGTGCATCTGACTCAACCTACAGTATTTTCAATAACCTCACACACATGTGAAAGTTGGACAATGAATAAAGAAGGCCATAGAAGAATTGATGCATTTCAGTTATGGTGTTGAAGGAGAATATTAAAAGTACCATGACCATCCAAAGAACAAACCAATCTGTGTTGGAAGACATACAGCCATGTCTTCTAAGGAATGTTCCTTAGAACCCAGGATGCCAAGACTTCATCTCTCATACTTTGGACATGTTATCAGGAGGGGCCAATCTCTGGAGAAGGATATCATGGTTGGTAAAGTGGAGGGTCAGAGAAAAAGAGGAAGACCCCAGTGAGATGGACTGGCACAGTGGCAACAGCAAAGCGCTCAAGTTTAGCAAAGATTGTGAGATTGGTGCAGGACCGGGCAGTGTTTCATTCTGTTTTACATCACTTGACGGCTCCTAATAACTACAGCAACAAGAGACCCTGTAGTCCTTGGCTTGGAACCCCTCCTGTTTCTTCAAATCCAGCAGTGAAGCATCTTCCAATCTTTCTCTCTCTGCTTCCTCCTCACATCTCCTGCTCTGACCTCCCGCCCCCCTCCCCTTGGATAAGGACCCTGTGATCACATGGCACCCCCCCCCCTCAAGTGATCCAGGATCATTTTCCATCTCAAAACCATTCGCATTGACCATCTGCAAAGCCTCTTTTGCTATGTGAGATGCCATGTCCACAGGTCCTAGGAATCAGGATGGGGAGACCCCTCATAGCAAGTTGATCATGTTGGTATATATGTGATGGACAGAGACACTAGAGCACAGAGAGGTCAAGGCCGTGGCCAAGGGCACACAGTGAGGGAGGACAGGAGAAGGATTGCAGCCTCAGAACATCTCCTGTTGCTGCTGCTGGGGACTGAGCCCATGCGGTGTGAACCTGTTTCCTTCCCCTTTGGTGAACAGTTGTAAAACCCACAATAACTGTCCCTCTTGGTTGTCCCAAATAACCACACTCCCAGCAGCCCTGAAGCGTGGGCTGGTGGGGAAGGGGCGGGGAGTTGTCAGCACTTCCAAATCCTAAACCTGGGTCCAGAGATGGGGGCTGCCTTGTGGGTGGCTGAAAGGCAGAGGGTCTCGAACTCAAGACTCACAGGCTGCAAACCTGGTCAGGTGTTTTGTTGGAGGTTTGAATGCCTCCCGGCCCTCAGACGCTGGTCAGTCAGATGCAACAACATCAACAATGATGAGGTGAATAATAATAACCCCTATGATGAGGTGAATTGTGCTCTCCAAAAGATACATCAAAGTCCTACCCCCTGGGATCTGTGAAGGTGACCCTGTTTGGAAATAGGGTCTTTGAGGATGGCATCAGCTAAATTAATGTGAATCAATAACAGGGTAGGGTAGGTCCTGATCCAATCTGGGTAATGTCCTTAAAAGGAGACCCACAGAGGGAGAATGCCTCGTGACTCGGAAGGCCGAGATTGGAGTGATGTAGACCCAGGCCAAGGACAGCCGCTGTTACGAGCAGCTAGGAGAGAGGCTTGGGGCAGGATTCTCTCTCAGAGCCTCAGAAAGGCTCACACAACTGACGTCTTGGGTTTGGAATCTGGCCCCAGATTTATGAGATAGCGCATTTCCATGCTTCTAAACCCCAACCGAAGCCCACTGCCATCAAGCTGAATCCAAGTCACAGCGACTCTATAGGACGGGGTGGATCTGCGCCTTAGGTGTTCTGAAGCTTTTCATTGTTCTTTCTCGAGGAACAGCTGGTGGGTTTGAACTGCCGACTTTGCATTTCAAACAGCTTTGCAGTTAGCAGCCCAGCGCTTAAACCACGATACCACCAGAACTTCTTTTCCAGTCTTACAGGTCACCCAATTGATGGGACTTTGCTACGCAGCCACCAAGAGTAAATGCAGCTCTACTTGCTGTGACTAATTTGTTGAGCTCTTTATAGGTTGAGGGATGAGTTCTTGCTCATGGAAGTTTCTTTTAATGAACAACTATCTATACAGGGTCGCTATGGGTCGGAACCGACTCGAAGGCACTTAACAACAACAACAACATCAGGGCAGAGGGCAGAGCCCCTCTTGGGAGTGGGTTCAGATTCTGCTTATCTGCAGACCCCCGGTGGTCCCCCACCTCCTTACCTGTGAAGTCCTGGGCTCCCAGGACCATGGCACATGTCAGGAGAACAGCAAAGGGCAGGGCCATCAGCAGGCTGTTCCTAATGGTGCAGAGATGCTCTGCCAGAGCCGTGTGCCAGGGTTATAAAGCTGGCAGGGGACCAGGAACCCCTTCCCTCTGGGATGCACTCCCTCTTGCGTCTGCCTCGCCTCTTACTGGCCCTTCTTGGAGACTTGTGAAATTTAAGGTAATGACACAAACGGTTCTCAGTGGGGCCGGCCTTGAAGGGGACAAAAAGGAGCAAGCAGGCATAAGAAACAGCTGAGCTGGTGCTTGTTACCTACCCAGCCTGGAGCAGGGCATGCAGTTGGTGCTTACTTGCCACCCTGGGGTATTGTATACAGTGGGTGCCTGATGACCAGAAGTATGTACACAGTTGTCACTCATTGCTCAGCCTGGAGTGCTCAGTATGGGCACAGGCCAGAGCAGGGTATGTAGATGGTGTTGTGAAGGGGCTTAGGGAAGAGGGGGAGTTCAAAAAGGCACTGAGGGAAGGAGGCTTCCTGCGGAGCCTCTGCAA